CCCTCAACCCCACTTTTTTCAACTTCAGATTAGCGGAAATTAAACAGAACTTTTCGCCAAATTTATTTTTGATAATCTGAATTTAAAAAAAAATGAGGTTGAGGGTGCAGTGCTTATTCATGATAGGATACGGTATACTTTACATTTTGCATGATAGTCTAATTAGAGTCTAATAGTAGATATAAATAGAGGGTTATAGAACACTGGTTATGCCTTGGAGTTTTAGTTTGGTCTTTAAGTCGGAACAAGGGATATTTTGGAGGACTATAGTGTACCGGGCAGGGACCCGTAAAAATTTGTATACAAATTAATCAAATTAATACAAATTTAGATTGATAAAACAAATTAAAGCAAATTTATAAATGTAAAATTCACGTGATATATACTAAATTTGATTGGCTAATAATGGCAAACGGAGGTTACGACAAAATTCCGAAAAGAAATGAATGAACGTAAATGACGAGCAAGGTCGGGATAAAAATTTGAGCAAATATATGATATTTTCCGAGAAGATAAATAATATATGCAACTTAATATAAATTTTAAATCTTATTACAAATTAATACCAATTTTTGCAAAAACATAAATAAAGATTTTGTATAACACAAATTTTTATAGGACTGAGTACACTTATTAAGAAGATACTTACTTATGTCACTAGTAATATTAGTACTTTTTGGTGGCTTGTATATGTTAATAAATACTTGGTTTTTCATATTAATGCTTATGACTCTAAGCTAAATTGCTCTGATGTCTGAATAGATAAGATTGCACACATTAATGGTTCACCAGGATTAAAAAAATATACTAATAATTTGGAAGACAATAATATAAAAATTGTGAAAAATAAAGATATCAATAATAACCTATTTTTAAACAATGAAGACCTAGTGAATAATAAGCCAATTGGATATTGTTGAGTAATCATGAAGTTCAAATGAAGCTGTGGATAATTTTGAAGTAATAATAAAGTCACATGCATTAAATAGCTTTGTAATCAAGATTTGAATTACTAACAAAGTCAGATTTGGTAATTTGGTAATTTGGTAAAGTAACTTTAAAAAAAATAATTTAGGCAATCAGAATAAAAAAAGCCATTTAAATAATTTGAAGATATCCTGAAGTTGTCTGATATTTGTCAAAAATAGATGATGATCACCAGAGCTCATTTTTCTAAGAGAGAAATAATATTATGTCTAATTTTATTTTTTTATTTATTTATTTTTTTGCATTCTTTGTTAATATATACATATTTTATTCTATCAAATTTCTATTTGAATAAAACTTCAATAGCTTATTGTAAAAGGAATTAACCCTCAATAAGGATTAAAAACTTTTGGTAAAAATTAAAGAATTATTAATAAAGGTTTGTGGCCTTTAAGCAGAGGTCAAAGGGTATTAGTAAAGGCTTAAAGCACTATTAAAAGTTAAAAATATAAAAGAGATTGAATTTTGACTTAAGAAAGTTAGTGAACATTCAGAACATTCAGATTGTTTATAAGCAAATATGTATTAAATATCCTTTTTCTATAAAAAATATAATAAAAAAAAACCTTATATATAATAATATATGTTAATTTAATTGATGATT